CGCTGCTGCCGGAATCGTGGCTTCAATTCACAAGCGGATTGAGCCTGCCGCAGAACCAGAGCTTGTGGACGCTCGAGTGGGTGCGGACGAAGATTCTGGAGGAGGACTTCCGTCACCGCCAACTGAGGGGTGGAGACGACGGCAGCAGTGGCTATGGGATGCAAGGGAGCCGACGTGGCAGAGGACGTGGCTTCGGTGGTGCTGGACGCGGTGCAAAGAAGGACGACGACTCTAACGACCAACAAGGAGGTACCGGTTGGGGTCGTGGTGCGAAATCTGGACGTGGGGGCAAGTCGGGTGCTGGTGGCAAAATGAAAGGGAGTTGCTGGTATTCAGAGAAGGAAGGGCATCCCTGGTTTTTGTGCTATAAGAAACCCGATGGATGGACCCCCCAGAATCGTCACCAGGATGGCGGCATGTGGAGGAACCCGAAAAAGCAGTGCGGAGAAGAAGAAGGAGCGCTCCGCGGGGCAATTCTTCCGTGTGGTAGATAGGGGGGAGCAAGGAGACGCATCTGCCAAGGTTGGAGCAGAGCTGCACCCCCTGGACTTTTGGGTGTTGGACACGGGCGCTGCTTGGACGATGACGCCACGCAAGGACCTGCTGGATGACGTATGTGCTGCACCGATCAATGAGGTGTGCTCCGCCTCTGGACACGCGTTGAAGGTGGCTGGTGCGGGACGAGCTGCATTTAAGGGAGCGGATGGCAAGCCGGTAGTGCTGCACGACGTTCTTCTCGTCCCCGAACTCAAGGCCAACCTTATCTCCCTCCATAAGCTTGGCAAGGCTGGGGTGAACACTAACACGGATGGGGCTCGCACGTACAAGGGGCAGCTGGGCAATCGGGTGCTTTGGGATCTGCACAAGAGCAAGGACGTGTACAGATCTATGTGGCAGCTGCCGGCGTTGGCGTGGCACGGTGGGGGGCAGGCTGGAGAGGGGTCTGCATCCCAGGGGGAGTGCAACGCCGTTGGAGGGGTTGGTGTGAAAGTGTCGGCCAGATCTGGGGAGACAGATTGGGCAACGGCACACCGGCGCTTAGGGCATGTGGCAATGCCTTTGCTGAAGCAGCTGGAGAAGGATGGAGCCGTTAAGGGTCTGAAGCTGAACGGACAGCCACCCGATGATAACTGTGAAATCTGTTTGCTCTCAAAGTTTACCCGTTTCCCCTTCCATAGTGTGGCTGGCAGGAGCAAGAAGCCTTTGGAGCTGGTCCACATGGACTTGGTGAGGCCGCTGCTGGTACAAGGGCACAAAGGGGAGTAGTACTTCCTTACGATTGTGGATGATTGGAGCAGACTTATGTGGGCGTATCCGCTGAAGCAGAAGGACCAAGCCGCCTCCACGAGACGGGATGATTGGCTGCTATTTGTGGAGAAGCAGGTGGAGTGTGTAGTGAAGCGGATTAGGACAGACCGGGGTGGTGAGTTCCTTGGAGCTGAGATGACGGCCTGGCTCAAGAAGCAGGGCATCCAGAGGGAGCTGACCACGGCTTACACCCCACAGTCCAACGGTGTAGCAGAACGGGCAAACCGGACCATTCTAGAGACAGCTAGGGCGCTGCTCATAGAATCTGGGCTTGGCAACTCCATGTGGCCCCACGCTGTGCGGCACGCTACCATCGCTAGGAACAGGGTGCTCACCAAGGTTGGGGATGACTCGTGGGTGCCGTTGGAGAGGTGGCTTGGGAGGAAGCCGCCGGTGGACATGCTGAGGGTGGTTGGCTGCATGGCAGTAGCCCATGTCCCCAAGACCTACCGCAATAAGTTGGGGGCGAGTGCAATCTGGTGTGTGCATTTGGGGCTGGCTGCTGAGAGCAAGGGATGGCTGTTGTGGGAACCATCCAAGGGTGTGTTGTTTGACAGCAAGGATGTGAAATTCATTGAGGGCATGATGTATGGGAGCTGGGAGAAACAGCCGGAGGCAAGGGTGTCTCAGCAGATGAAGCAGATTACCACTCCTAGTGTGTGGGAGGAGGGAGAGGAGGCAGCTGCGGGGGGTGGTGATGGAGAGAAGGTACAGGAGGCACCTGCTGGTGGAGGAGAGGCTAGTGATAGCACTGGTGAAGCTGCTGGATCTGAAAGAGGAGAGCAGCAGCAGAGCAAGGGTAACGTACCTAAGCTACGTCAACGGAGGAAGCCGAAGGGTGTCGTTATGAAAGGGTGGGAGACACCCGTCCCTAGGCCAGGACGCACCCGTATAGCAACAATGAAGCTGACTGCAGGAGCTGATGTAGCAGAGCAGCAGCTTGGGAATGAAGAGGCGTTACTGATTTTGCCACAATGGTATAAGACGGAAGAGAATGACGAGCCTGCATACTGTTTTCTTGCCCCTGCACCACAGGAACCAGCTAGTATGGAGGAGGCATGAGCTGGAATAATAGATAGGAACAAGTGACTGGCTTCTAGGGATGCTGACTACCAAAGCTTGCTAGAAAAAAGGACATGGGATCTGGTGGTGCTGCCTGCAGGGAAGAAAGCTTTACAGTGCAAGTGGGTGCTGAGAATCAAGACCGATGACAAGGGGCAGGTCACCATCTACAAGAGTAGGCTGGTGGCTAAGGGGTTTATGCAGAAGGAGAAGCAGGACTTCAATGAGATCTTTGCTCCCACTGCCAAACCCCCTACCCTCCGTGTCTTGTTGGCAGATGCAGCCGTTAGTGGGAAATTCATCATTCAGATGGATATATGAACGGCACTTCTTAATGCGATTTTAGAGGAGGATGTTTACATGTCGCAACCGCCTGGGTATGAGGATGGTACGGGCAGGGTGTGCAAGCTGAAAAAGTCCATCTACGGCTTGAAGCAGGCACCACGCTGCTGGTACCAGAGGTTGGCAGCTGTTTTAGAGGAGATAGGGTTCAGGACCAGCAGCTGTGATGAGAGCCTCTTTCTCAAGGGGGAGGGGGAGGAGCTGGTGCTGTTTCTGGTCTATGTGGACGACACTCTTCTCTTTAGCAACAGCATGAAAGAGATCCAGAAAGTGCAGCAGCAGCTGATGGAGAACTTCAAGTGCAAGAACCTTGGGGAGGTAAAGTACTACCTCGGGATGCACGTGGAGAGGGATCCAGATCACAGGTGGTTGAAGCTGCACCAGGAGAAGTTCATCAAGGAGCTGGGGAAAAAGTATGGGATTGAGAATGGCCGCAAGGTTGCAACTCCCCTCCCAGCACAGTTCAAGCTTGTGAAGGCTGCAGAGGATGAAAGGGTTGAAGCCGAGGAGCAGCAGCAATTTCAGTCCTTGGTGGGCAGCCTCTTGTATGCAGTTGTTCATACGAGGCCTGACATCTCTTTCTCGGTTGGGCAGCTGGCCAGGGTGGTGCAGAATCCATCAGAGGAGCAGGTGGATGCAGCTGAGCATGTGGTGAAGTATCTGAACTCCCACCCAAGCATTGGAGTTCAATACTCCGCATCTGCACAGGTGAAGCAGAAAGGGGTTGAGGTGCTGAAAGAGAAGGGGGAGCGGCTTGGAGAAGGCAAGCTCTTTCTCACTTGCTTTACCGATGCTACTTGGGCTTCTGAGAAGGAAGATTCCTCATCTGTGGGAGGATACATCTGCGTAGTTGGGCGAGGATCTGTTAGTTGGAGGTCCAAGAAGCAGACGGAGACGGCACTCTCCTCTGTTGAGTCAGAGTACATGGCAATGTTCCATGGGGTGAAGAAGGTGATTTGGCTGAGGAGGCTGTTAGAGGAGATTGGCCAGGAGCAGAAGGTTGCTACGCCGCTGTTTTGTGACAGCAAGGGGGCTCTTGGGATGGCCAGGAACGCTGTGCTTCACGGGCTGAACAAGCACATGCGTATCAAGTGGCACTGGCTGCGTAAAGAGGTGAAGAGGGGGACGGTGCATCCGATCTACATCAAGACTCACCAGCAGCCAGCAGACTTTCTCACCAAGAGGCTTGCGGATGAGCCTCATTGGCGTTGTGTACGCATGAGTGGAATGAGCATGAACTAGCATGGAATGATGGGAATGCAGCCGGCAGGCTGAGGGGGAGTGTGTTGGGTGCAAATTCACTTTGCACGACATCCTGCCGTCTGTTTGTACAAGTATGCGTATGTCAATGCATTTGCGTGTAGATGGTGTGCTATGAACCGTGTACACGCTATGAACAGTGCAAGCAAAAAGGACGAGCTCGCAAAGGAACCCAAGATGGAAGCTTTGCAGTTCGGTTGAATTGATTGCGCAGATTCAGTTCTATCCAACTCGAAATTGTACTGTTTTGTTTGGTTGACTATAGTGTAGCAAGGCAGGCACTATAGGGGTACAAATTAGGTGAAGGTTGGATGTTTTTTGTCTGTATCTGCATGCTACAAGGCCAGGGGAAACCAGCAGAACCAGCATTTGGCTGGTTGGGCAAAGACAAAACAGGTTCTGTTTTTAGAACCTGAACCTGGTTGTTGTTTTCCCAGGTTGGAAAAACAGAACCAGAGGTTGTTTACCAACCTACCACCTCTTTTTTTGTCCAGCCAGGTTGGTTCTGCTGCTTGGAATTATTTGGGATCATCCCTGGTTGTTCCCAGGTTGATTCCCAAGGTCCTTGCTAGCTATAACTATTTATTCCTTCTCTGTTTGTACCTGGATATAGTCAATTGATTCAAGCGGATTCCTTCCTTGCTGGAATTTTGTTTCTACGCGGTTCGACGGCGGAATGCTACCCGAGTCAATGCTAGTACGCTAGCACTCCAACGCTAGGCAAACGCTGTCCGAGCCATAACTTAGTAATGGCAGAACTTTTCGCAAGGCAACTTGGCTTATTTTAAAGCTCTTGGAGTGAGCTTCGATATAGCGAATTATCAGCTTAATCCGATCGACGGTCTGCACGATACACCGCGCGACGTTCAAAGTACTCTTGCTGATTTCACGAAGTCTCTCTTGATCCCTCTCTCTACAAACTCAGACCCGAGGATAGGGGCTGGTCTTATACCAGGCACCCAGGGACCCTTGGAGGTGACCCCGAGGAGAGGCTTTAAGTTTGATTAAGCATTAATAGCTTGACTCTATTAGGCCCTTACACCAAAATCGCATGAGGTGACGAACTGCTGCACGTCTGCTGCCATCTGGGGCCAATAGTAATATTTTTCTATTCCCGCTAACGTCTTGTTGCTCCCGAAATGTCCCGCATATGGTACGTCGTGAAACTCCACTAGAAGGATCTGTCGTAGCGGGGCGTAGTTCGGTACCCAAATCTTTCCTGAACCCTTCCTTACCGCTAAGTCTTTCTCCCACTGTAACAGCTTCTGTTTCTCTGCCGTTGCTATCTCTGCGTCCACGGAGTACCCATGTTGGAATAGACCCTTGAGCAGAGGGTTCATCCCGTCGAGTTGGATGCCTGCTACATGACCGGGGCGGCTCAACACGTCAGCTTTGTTGTGGAGCCCGGGTTTGTAGACGATGTCGTAGTGGAAGTGGGTCTCTAAGAAATCAACCCACCGTAACTGTCGTCGTGAGAGCGTCGGCTGCGACTTGAGGTATTTGAGACTGCAGTGGTCAGTGTAAACTGTGGTCTTGGCTCCCTCTAGATAACACCTCCACGCCTTGAAGACTATGACTATGGCTAACACTTCCTTGTCGTGAATGGGGTAGTTCAGTTCTGCTCCGTGTAGCTTCTTACTGAGGTAGGCAATAGGCTGTAAACCGCGTCCGTGATCCTGCATCAGTACTGCTCCGACTGCCTGGTCACTAGCGTCTGCTGCCACTACGTAGTCCTTGTCTGGATCCGGTAGGATGAGTACTGGTGCTGTGGTTAGTGCTGTTTTTAGCTGTTCCATAGCTTGCTGATTTCAGTAGGTCAGTCAGTGGCGCTGCTATCTTAGCGTACTGCGGCACGAACCTGTTGTAGTAATTGGCAAATCTTATAAACTACTGCAACTCCTTCACGTTCTTCGTTACTTTCCACTTTTTAACAGCTTCAATCTTCCGCGGGTCCACGTGTACGCCCTCCGCACTCACCATGTGCCCGAGAAACTGCACCTTCTTCAGGGCGAAGTCGCTCTTTGACAGCTTCACGTAGAACTTATTTTTCCGCAGGATCTCAAACGTCTTTCGCAGATGCTCCACGTGCTCCTTCATGCTTTTGGAGTAGATGAGTATGTCGTCCAGGTACACCACTACGCACTCGTCCAGCAGGGGCCGTAGGATATGGTTCATCTCCGCCTGGAACGTCGCTGGTGCGTTGCAGAGTCCGAACGGCATCACCAAGTATTTGTAGGAGCCGTATCTGGTACGGAACGCCGTCTTGTGGATCGAGTTGTCCGCCATTTTGATCTGCCAGTAACCCGACCATAGGTCCAGCTTCGAAAAGACTGTAGCACCACGCAGTTGGTCCAGTAGATCGTCTATGCGCGGTATGGGGTATTTATTTTTAACTGTCTGTTTGTTCAGTGCGCGGTAATTGATGCAGATCCATAGACTGCCGTCTGGTTTTGGAGTGAAGAGAACTGGTGCACCGTAGGGAGAGGTGGATGGGCGGATCAGTTGTCTGTCCAGTAAATATTCTATCTGCTTCTTCATGTCTGTCACTTCGGTCAGACTCAGTCGGTATGGTGCACGTGAGACGGGTTTCGCACCTGGTTCCTCCATGATCTCATGCTCGTGGGTGCGTGTTGGAGATACGCCTGCAGGTAGGTCGTCGGGCATTATATCCTTGTACTGCTCCAAGACCTCCTTTACTGCTGCAGGTAGCTCCGAACTCGGCTTCTCCTCCTCTGCTGCTGCCATGACCAGTGCTAAGTAACCCGTGTTACTCTCGTTCACCGTCCGTTCGAACCGTGCCAGTGTTGTTTCAGGAACATCCCCTGTATCTGTCCAGCTTCGTAGCTCTATCCGCTTCCCGTTGTTGTAGATGCACACTTTTCTGTTGACCCAATCAATCTCAAGGTTGAACCGCTTCAGAAAATCTCTACCCAAGATGAAATCTAACCCCTTGATGTTGGTGACTGGTAACTTCGGCTTCCATCTCAACGCACCTATATGCAGCTGCAGGGAAGTTTCACCGTGGATGGGAAGCTTCGTACCGTCCACCATCGTTGCTGAGAATTAAGTCTCCTCCGCCTTCTCTCCAATTTTCTCCAATGTTCCGCGGTCACACACTGAGGGAGATGTACCGCTGTCCACCAGTGCCTGGAGGCGTCGCCCATTGCATAACACCTCGAGGAGTAGTGGTTTCTGCTGCGCTGAGTAGCCAAAGAGGGTCTCATTAATAGGATCATAGGGTATATCAAGATGACTCAGCACTTTTTACTTCCAACTTCACCTGGGGGGTAGGAGGATTTTTCCGAGGCTTGTATAATTTCTCCTGAGCCTGGATTTGTCCTCTAAGCCTTTGCAGTTGTGTAGGCTTCACCTGTGGGCAATGGGGAGCCTTAACACGGTGCTGCGGGGAGAGAATATTAACTCCACGGAACGCACGACCCTTTTCTACGCTCCGTAGTACTTTGCCCAACTTCTCAGGTACCTGAATAATTTCTAAAGGCTTTTTCTTGGCCTCTAAATCTCCCCTGAATTTTTCAAAGGCTTGAAAACCACGAGAAGCAACATTTTTCGTTAGAGTGTTTTTAGAGGATACTTTTAACGAATTCTTACTTTCGTGGGTGTTCGGCTGGAGTTTCCCGGTCGGTGCAGAGTCTTTTTTCGCGGAGCCTCCATTCGCCTCGGCGATTTCCCCTGATGCCGGCCGGTCGGTCTTGTACCAGGCACCCAGGGACCCTTGGAGGTGACCCCGAGGAGAGGTTTTAAGTTTGATTAAGTCCTAATAGCTTGAGTTTATTAGGCCCTTACACCAACAAGCTGGTATCAGAGCTGCGTTATAGTGATCCTCGTTATAGGTAGCTATGGCGGGCAACACCTCGGCGGGAGCTGGTGAATCTTCAGCCCAAGATCGTAGCGGCAGCCAAGATTCTGGTCTTTCAGCGCCAAGGGGAGCGCGAACCAACCAGAGCTCGCTGATCAAGGAGGTGCTGAAGAATTTCACCGTCGAGAAGTTCAATGGTAAGGGCTATGATGACTGGGCCTGGAAAATGCAATTGTATTTCCGTCAGATCAGTTTGCTGAAACTAATGATTGGGAGGAGCCTAGACCGAGTGACCCCGCCCTTCAGGAAGATTGGGACGAGCGCTCCTCGGCTGGCTACTATCTGATGTCGCAGAGTTTGGAGCTGAACCAGCGTCACCACGTCATGCATCTGCTGCCGGAGGTTGAATGCGGTCCGAAGGCGTGGACCGTGTTGAAGGAGCTGCACGCCCCGACCTCCGTTGTCGCAACGTTGATGCTGGAGAGGGAGCTGTCCGCGTTGCGCCTGAGCGAGGGAGAGCCGGTGCAACCTGTCCTGGACAAGATGCGCGACCTGTACGCGAAGTTGGCGACTGCGGGAATCACCTACCCGGAGCAGACCAAGTGCTTGAAGATGCTCTCGCTGCTGCCGGAATCGTGGCTTCAATTCACGAGCAGATTGAGCCTGCCGCAGAACCAGAGCTCGTGGACACTCGAGTGGGTGCGGACAAAGATTCTGGAGGAGGACTTTCGTCGCCGCCAACTGAGGGGTGGGGACGACGGCAGCAGCGGCTACGGGATGCAAGGGAACCGACGTGGCAGAGGACGTGGCTTCGGTGGTGCTGGGCGCGGTGCAAAGAAGGACGACGACTCCAACGACCAACAAGGAGGTACCGGTTGGGGTCGCGGTGCGAAATCTGGACGTGGGGGCAAGTCGGGTGCTGGTGGCAAAATGAAAGGGAGTTGCTGGTATTGTGAGAAGGAGGGGCACCCCTGGTTTTTGTGCTATAAGAAACCCGATGGATGGACCCCCCAGAATCGTCAACAGGATGGCGGCGCGCGAAGGAACCAGAAAAACGGCGCGAACATGGTCGCTGATTCGTCCGACAACAACCCGAAGAGCAACGCTGGTGCGGAGAAGAAGAAGGAGCGCACCGCGGGCCAGTTCTTCCATATTGGAGAGCAGGGGGAGCAAGGAGACGCCTCTGCCAAGGTTGGAGCAGAGCTGCACCCCCTGGACTATTGGGTGTTGGACACGGGCGCTGCTTGGACGATGACGCCGCGCAAAGACCTGCTGGACGACGTACGCGCTGCACCGATTAACGAAGTGTGCTCCGCCTCTGGACACGCGTTGAAGGTGGCTGGTGCGGGACGAGCTGCGTTTAAGGGAGCGGATGGCAAGCCGGTGGTGCTGCACGACGTTCTCCTCGTTCCCGACCTCAAGGCCAACCTCATCTCCCTCCGTAAGCTTGCCAAGGCTGGGGTGAGCACTAGCACGGATGGGGCTCGCACATACAAGGGGCAGCTGGGCAATCGGGTGCTTTGGGATCTGCACGAGAGCAAGGACGTGTACATAACCATGTGGCAGCTGCCGGCGTTGGCGTGGCACGGTGGGGGGCAGGCTAGAGAGGGGTCTGCATCCCAGGGGGAGTGCAACGCCGTTGGAGGGGTTGGCGTGAAAGTGTCGGCCAGATCTGGGGAGACGGATTGGGCAACGGCACATCGACGCTTGGGGCATGTGGCAATGCCCTTGCTGAAGCAGCTGGAGAAGGATGGAGCCGTTAAGGGTCTGAAGCTGAACGGACAGCCACCCGATGATAACTGTGAAATCTGTTTGCTCTCAAAGTTTACCCGTTTTCCCTTCCATAGTGTGGCTGGCAGGAGCAAGAAGCCTTTGGAGCTGGTCCACATGGACTTGGTGGGGCCGCTGCCGGTTCAGGGGCACAAGGGGGAGCGGTACTTTCTGACCATAGTGGATGATTGGAGCAGACTCATGTGGGCGTATCCGCTGAAGCAGAAAGATCACGCCGCCTCCACGATTCGGGACGATTGGCTGCCGTTCGTGGAGAAGCAAGCGGAATGTGTGGTGAAGCGGTTAGGACAGACCGGGCTGAGATAACGGCCTGGCTCAAGAAGCAGGGCATCCAGAGGGAGCTGACAACGGCTTACACCCCACAGTCCAACGGTGTAGCAGAACGGGCAAACCGGACCATTCTGGAGACAGCTAGGGCGCTGCTCATAGAATCTGGGCTGAGCAACTCGATGTGGCCCCATTCTGTCCTGCACGCCACCGTCGCTAGGAACAGGGTGCTCACCAAGGTTGGGGATGACTCGTGGGTGCCGTTGGAGAGGTGGCTTGGGAGGAAGCCGCCGGTGGATATGCTGAGGGTGTTTGGCTGCATGGCAGTCGCCCACGTCCCCAAGACCTACCGCAGTAAGTTGGGGGCAAGTGCAATCTGGTGTGTGCATTTGGGGCTGGCTGCTGAGAGCAAGGGATGGCTGCTGTGGGAACCATCCAAGGGTGTGTTGTTTGACAGCAGGGATGTGAAATTCATTGAGGGCATGATGTATGGGAGCTGGGAGAAACAGCCGGAGGCCCGGGTGTCCCAGCAGATGGAGCATATCACCATGCAGCTGGACCTGACTCCTAGTGTGTGGGAGGAGGGAGAGGAGGCAGCTGCTGGAAATGGTGATGGAGAGAAGGTACAGGAGGCATCTGCTGGTGGAGAAAATGGTGTGGAAACTGGCGGCAGCACTAGTGGAGCTGCTGGATCCGAGGGAGGAGAGCAGCAGCAGGGAAAAACTAAGAAGCCGAAGGGTGTCGTTATGAAGGGATGGGAGACACCCGTCTCCAGGCCAGGACGTACCCGTATGGCTACTAAGAAGCTGACTGCAGGAACTGATGCAGCAGAGCAGCAGCTAGGGACCGAGGAGGCATTGCTGATTCTACCGCATGGCTATGACCCGGATGAGGAGGATGAGCCTGCGTACTGTTTTCTTGCCCCTGCACCAGAGGAACCAGCTAGCATGGAGGAGGCATTAGCTGGACCAGATAGGGACAAGTGGCTGGCTTCTAGGGATGCTGAGTACCAGAGCCTGCTGGAGAATGGGACATGGGATCTGGTGGTGCTGCCTGATGGGAAGAAAGCGATACAATGCAAGTGGGTGCTGAGGATCAAGACCGATGACAAGGGGCAGGTCACCATCTACAAGAGTAGGCTGGTGGCGAAGGGGTTTATGCAGAAGGAGAAGCAGGACTTCAACGAGATCTTTGCTCCCACTGCCAAACCCCCTACCCTCCGTGTCTTGTTGGCAGATGCAGCCGTTAGTGGGAAATTCATCATTCAGATGGATATTTCAACGGCATTCCTGAATGGGATTTTAGAGGAGGATGTGTACATGACGCAGCCGCCTGGGTATGAGGATGGTACGGGCAGGGTGTGCAAGCTCAACAAGTCCATCTACGGCTTGAAGCAGGCGCCACGCTGCTGGTACCAGAAGTTGGCAGCTGTTTTAGAGGAGATGGGATTCAGGACCAGCAGCTGTGATGAGAGCCTCTTTCTCAAGGGCGAGGGGGAGAAGCTGGTGCTGTTTCTGGTCTACGTGGACGACATTCTTCTCTTCAGCAGCAGCATGAAGGAGATCCAGAAAGTGCAGCAGCAACTGATGGAAAACTTCAAGTGCAAGAACCTTGGGGAGGTAAAGTACTACCTCGGGATGCACGTGGAGAGGGATCCTGATCACAGGTGGTTGAAGCTGCACCAGGAGAAGTTCATCAAGGAGCTGGGGGAGAAGTATGGGATTGAGAATGAGCGCAAGGTTGCAACTCCCCTGCCAGCAGAATTCAAGCTTGTGAAGGCTGCAGAGGATGAAGGGGTTGAAGCCGAGGAGCAGCAGCAATTTCAGTCCTTGGTGGGCAGCCTCTTGTACGCAGCAGTTCACACGAGGCCCGACATCTCTTTCTCGGTTGGGCAGCTGGCTAGGGTGGTGCAGAATCCATCAGAGGAGCAGGTGGATGCAGCTGAGCGTGTGGTGAAGTACCTGAACTCTCACCCAAGCATTGGAGTTCAATACTCCGCATCTGCACAGGTGAAGCAGAAAGGGGTGGAGGTGCTGAAAGAGAAGGGAGAGAGGCTTGGAGAAGGCAAGCTCTTTCTCACTTGCTTTACCGATGCTACATGGGCTTCTGAGAAGGAGGATTCCTTATCTGTGGGAGGATACATCTGCGTAGTTGGGGGAGGACCTGTTAGTTGGAG